TTTTAATCTTCCTGCCTCTTTCATACCTCATTGTGTTCCTTTCAGACTACCTTAAGTTTGATTTGTCACTTTAGCAAAGAATAAAAGACTATGGGATTTAGGCGATTCTATGCATTTAATAAAGGAATACTTGGTATTTTTTGTTCCTTTGCTTTGTGTTTCGATCCCATCAATGTTTTGCAGATGATGGGGATGATGATGAGCTACGATTCCAAGCCACGCAGGCATATCCCTCACTCATACAACAACCAAAAAAGGACGATGACGATGATGACATACAGCAAGGTGCAGATGTGAAAGACAGTTCCCCTTGCGCATCCTCCTCACCCCATGCAGATATGCAACAAACCATTGCTTATGATGTCGCAGAAATGGAGACACAAGTTTATGTTACTGAGAGAGAAAACGTGTCTGTTGACCATACTAAAGGCAAGGGAAAACATCCCGAGGACAAACCTGTGGAAATAGAACCAACGCTTCCGTACAATATCATGGACATGGAGACACAGGCTTACGAAGCTGAGACTGAAGAAACAACAAGTCCTGCAAGCAATAGCCTAAATAAAAGCAGCACAGACGACGAGGACAAGGGAACTCCTGAAGAACTAAAGATGTCAGCTGTCGTTGTTGGTGATCGCAGAGGCGTGACAATAGAACCTACCTTACCTTATGACTTGGAAACAGAAACCCAAGATTTCGATAACAACGAGAAAGATGCTCAAGAAACCTCTCGACAAACGTCCAAGAAAAATGCAGAAGATGATAATCTAGTTATAGAAGCCACAGTACCTTATGACATGGAGATGGAGACCCAAGCTTATGATAGAAAAGATATAGATGACTCAGAAACCGATGATGAGTGTAATCTAGAGAAAAAAGAAGGTAACATGGCTGATATGATGGAGACACAGGCTTATGGTGATGAGGTACCTGTAGAAGCACGGGAGAATGCTATCAACACATTTAACATGGCTGATATGATGGAGACACAGGCTTATGGTGTTGAGGTAGAAGCACTGGAGAATGCTATCAACACAGGTATGATTGTCATCTTTATGACAGTGTTACATCAATGTAGTATGGGTCACTTTTAAGACACACGGTGCCATCTCGTAGTAGGCAGGTCCAATGTACAGTACAGTCACAGAATTTAAGCCGAAAATATTGAGTGATTTGAATCTTCATGTAATGAAAAAACGTGCATAGTTAGTTCAGAGGCAATGTTATTGTAAAAAATGATGCTGTCTAGTACATATTTGTCTCGGATTGGCGCTTTTTTCTATGCCAGTGGTTGAAAATCTTTGATTTCAAAACTTCAGGGCGTCCAAAATTCCTGTGAGCACTTTAGAAATGCTTTTCATCATATTATTCGATGTTTAAACAGCCTGTTCATTACACCAACGAATCTAATTTACGTGTTACTCATTGGCAGATTAACAGCAATAAGTTTACAGTGGTTTTTCGTAATCATGCCTATCTTTGTCATCTTAGTTGCACCCTGCGTATGATAAATTCTGTTTTGATTTCAGCAGGTGCATCCGATGTGAATGATGCGGATGGGGAGCCTCAAGCTTATGGGCTAGAGGACCAGGCGACTGTTACAGATGACGTAAGAATTTCATACACTAGGCAGATTAAGATTCCCGTTTTTCCTTCCCGCAAACGGCAAACGTGACCACGTTTTCATCGTTTCCCTACATTTCATTTTACCTTTTGCAAAACTTCTCGACAAAGACAAGTATTCTTTTGTTTTTCTACTACTTGGAGTTTTTTGCGTTTCCTTTTCACTAATTTTAAAGAACTTTTTCATTGTCAACTGACGTTTCACGTTTGTCGTAAACGAGGATCTTAAACTCTCTACTGTAATAAAACTTGGGTAGACGTACATTTACGATATGGGAGGCTCATGCGATTTGAGAATACGTTTTGCAGTATAATGGTATTGATTTTTGATTTGTTTTTGTTGTTTTTTTTCAGGTTATTCCTGATAGTGAGGATTTGCTGTCACAAGAAATCCCTCTAAAAAGAATTAGTGAAGATGAGGATACAGTCAATAACAATGCATCTGTCAAGACACCCACAATACAACATGATAAACAACAGGTCATAAACACCATCCATCAATCTAATCTCATATAATTTGACATCAATCGAGTTTAGTCAAAGTTGAATGACAAATTATCATCAGTAATGCAGTTACACCTTCACTTAAGGCTGGTACTGAAATTCGCGAGTAAATTATGTCGAAAGAATACATGTTTATGATGATGATGATGATGATGCTTGATGATGATGCTTGATGATGATGATGATGATGATTAATATGATTAATATGATATTATTTTGCGCAACATTTATACAGGTTGAACAAAGTGGTAATAAAGAAGAAGAAAAAGAAGAAGAAAAAGAAGAAGAAAGACAAGATGATGATAAAGAAGAAGAAAAAGAAGAAGAAAAAGAAGAAGCTGAAATAATAGTAAGGCCAAAAAGGAGGGGGAAAAGTAGAGTGACACACTCTTCACCTGAGGAGGAAAACCAACAGCCAGCCATGCTGAACAAGGTAAACTTTTACCATCGTATGGCCCATTATGTTGTCTTTAACCTAAAGGGTAGCATGGGTGACGTACGTTGCTAACGCCACTAACCCGCTGCGGACACAAGGTCTCGAAAGGATGGAGATATCGTATTTACGATAGCAAGGAAGTGCATGCGAGCGTGTACTTCGATGGCATTTCATTTTTTCATTCCATTCCATAGCATAGAAATGGATTGTAATTGCCTGAATTGTTGTGGTTTTCGAGTTTTTTCATAAATGGGAGTGAACAACTTGAAGGTTTTTTCCAATGTTGTATTATAAACTTTCGTTCTTGCTCAGTTACCTTTCATCTGGTACAATTTCAGCTTGAAGATACCACAACCGCGAAGACGGCAGAAGATATATCACTAAACGAGCAAGCAACTGCTCCCGAAGATGTTGGAGTTCAAAGATCAAAGAGAGGTAAGAGGTCAAAGAAGAATAAAGTGGAGACTGAAATACAAGATACTTTAGGAGATGCCAGCGAAGAAGAGCAGTTCAAGATCGCAACAAAGCAAGAGAAAAGTACACGGGAGCGCAAGTCTACGAGAGGAAAAACATGTAAGATAAGTAAGACAGATGATACCGAGATAGAACAATCAACATCAATGTCAGAAAAGAGGCCAACGAGAGGAAGAAGGTCAAAGAAAAGTGAAGTAGAGATCAGAGTACAGGGTATTCTACCAGATGATACCGAGGAAGAACAATCAATGTTGGAAAAGAGGCCAACGAGAGGAAGACAGTTAAAGAAAAGTGAAGTAGAGCCATCTAGAGTTGAAGATGTTTTACCAGATAATACTGAAGAAGAACGACAAGAATCGCCATCCACGACAAAGAAAAGGCCAACAAGAGGTCGACCCAAGAAAACTGTGGTAAAGACTGCTATGATTGAGGATAGTTTACCAGAAGATACTGAGAAAGATGAAATGTCGTTACAACCTGTACAAACAACTCACAACGAACATCTCCCAGAGAAAAAGTCCTTGAGGGGGAGAAGATCAATGAAAACAGGCAAAGAACTCGACATAGAAGAAAAGATTAAACCAGTTGATAACGCAGAGGATAAAAACAAATCAGAATCAGTTCCCCAAAAACGTGTGCAACAAAAAATGTCAACGAGAGGAACTAAGAAGGATGAAGAAGATAGATTAGAGGGCACTGGGTCAGGCGACAATAAAGAAAAATTAGATACTTGTGCGGAAAATCTCGATATTTCACCAGGTCACTCCGAAGAGGAACAGTTTGCTGTCAAACATAAAGGGAAGGGAAAGGATAAGAAGTCTTTACAAGTTGATCAGGACTCATCATGTAAAGATGAAGAAGAACTGCCGTCCTTGGAAATTATTTTTTCTGACAAGAAAGTAACAAAGGGGAAGAGAAAAGGAAAAACTAAAGATGCAGAGGTAAGCTTAAGCAGAGTTTGGATTTTTTCACAAGTTTTAACTTCTAGAGGATCAAAACGTTAATCCATCAGTTGCTAAAAGTTTATTGTTTTAAAATTTTTAAAACTTTTTATTGATATATTATTTGATATATTCGATATATATTTTTTATAATATTACACTCGATTGCAGAAACGTTGTAGTATACATTTATACATTTATACAAATATCTAATGAGATGCATAATGCAAAATAACCATTTCCAACGCTTAAAACCAAGTGATTTATAATCTGTACGATCTAATAGACAAGAAAAAATATTTTGACAGTCATTGAATGAAACAAACAATAAATAAAGCGATTTTTCTGTTTTGCATATCATTAAATATACTGAATAAATTAGATATACGTATAAATGTATACTACAACGTTTCTGCAATCGAGTGTATATATATTTATATTTTTAATCCAGAATGATTATGAGCAATGATATAAATTTCAAGGGAATGTCCACATTACACCCACCTTGTCTGGCATGATAAGGTTTATTGAAAGGGGATTGATCAAAGCCGCCTCATTCTTTTCCAGACACCTGTCTTATTGTCCGGGAAAGATACTTCCACGGCGGAAGCAGTAAGAAATGAAGGGATGTCCTTCGAAACAATAGAAGTTAAGCCATTCTTTCCGAGAAGAGGACGAGGAAGAGTTACCCAGTCTGATGATTCAGCGTCTGCAGTATGTATTTCTCTTTTATTTGACTTTACTTTCCTTACTTGATTATTAGAACAATTACTTAAGTAATGTCAAAAGGCTAGGCGGTGCCATTTTATTACCTTGCTAGTCAAGTGGTGGATGATGTGTGTGTCGTTAGGTCCCAGGTTCATTTGGGTCAGAGCTGTCAGAGTTTAAAGAAGAAGACTTCATGTCACCTCAGTCTGTCGCTAAATCCATATCGGCACTAAAAAAAGAAAAGAAAAAGAAAGGAGAAGAGCAGAACCTGAAAGAAACTGAGGTTTGTAGTTTTTTTTAAATAGTTAGCACTAAGATACCACCAGAAATGCGAAAGAACCATGCGAAGATGTCTTTATCAAAGCTAGATCACACTCAACCATGTTTGGTATCCAAAAAAGAATTGTTTGACGCATCTTTGGGGTCCATTTGCAGGCAATTTCAAGAACAATCTTTACAAGGCTGCTTTTAATTTTGTATCCAAAGTCGCTTTTTCATGCGCACTAATTCACATCCCAGAGCTGTCAGGCTATCGTGCAATGTGTTAGCAAGCATTGACTTCTCTATTTTTATGTTAATCATAGATGGACATAAATGCAACACAAAGTAACTCTTCGTCGCCTAGGGGAAGTAAGACGAGAAAAAGAGGAAAGGAAGTAAGGACAGACTTGGATGAATCTCAAAGCAGCGTTACATCATCAGTGGGAAGAGAGGCAAGAGGAAAAGGAAAAGGGAAAAAAGCTAAATCTACAAAAGTAGATGACACCCATGTACGTAGGATGTTGGTATTGGAATGATGCTTCAGAGTTAGAGGTCCATAACTATAGTTATGAACATCTGTTCAGAGTACAGTGCGACTACACCAACCAGGGCCACCCAGAAAAATATCCATACCAAATTAGCCAATCATGATTGATGATTCAAACGATAGAATCTGCACAAATGTTCACATTTTACCCTTGGAAGCATATAATTTTCATATAATTATATATTTATATTGCATTTCATCTTCCAATGCCATATATATTCATAATACTATTGCATTTTAGTAATTATTTTTAACAAAAAATCCTCTATACATCTCAAGGTCCACAGTGCAAGCCAAGCATCATCCGACTTGAGCGAATCCCAAAACAGTACTGCATCTTCAGGTGAAAGTAGAGCAAGAGGAAAAGGACGAAGAAGGACGGGTAAACCTAGTACTTTGGACGACTCCCAGGTAAAAACCTCATAAATGGTCAAGTACAGTAGATAGTGTCATGTATGTCTGAATATTTGCTATTCTAAACTAGTGAATAATGGAAGTGGTTTGTGTATGACGTAATATGGAAGTTCACCACATCTACCAGGTGTGCAATAATATATGATTTATTACTTTTGCTTGTGTTATCGTGCAAGGAACAGGAAGTTCAAGAGACTCCAGTCAAGAAAGGTAGAACTGTGAAACAAGAAGACTCGCCCACTGTGGTACATAGTCCGTCTCTAAGAGAACGTAAACCCATTACGCCAAAAATAATGTTCACTGGTGTCTCCGACAAACAGGCAGAAAAGGTATGTCAATATTTATGTCAGTAAAGTATATCCCAAAATATTTCATATTGCTAAAGCTTCATTTGGTATACAGCTTGTCTTTTACAGTCGTACTCAAAAGCACGCACGGGATCGTACGATTTGCCGTCGCGACAAATAGGGATTTGGTGAACACTCTCGAGAAACACGAAGTTTTCAAAGACACGTGCCTATTGAATTTCAACGACGCTTGGATGGCATCCGACAAAACCTACTTTGTCGCGAAGACTATTCCGAGTTGTTCTATAAGGCGTTCTCACCCTGTCCCTAGAGAGTTAACCGATAATAGAGTCGGGCAGCCATATTGGTGTACCTTAAGAAACTAATGACAATGTTATTGTCAAAGGTACACCAATATGGCGGCTGTGACGTCACGGTGAAAACTCTGTATAGAGTTTTAAGTTGTAACGCATTTCGGGGACCAACTGCTCACAAAAACTGCTAAAATAAAACGTTCTGAATGATTAACCCCCACATGAAACAAGTTGAACTTGTCATAGGGGGAAAGCAAGAAAAATCTTTATAGAATTGCTTTTCGTTTTAGATCCGGAAGTTGTTTTTCCATGCCAGTGACGTCACTCTTAAAAGTCTATTGAGGACGACTGTAATCTCAAACCAAAGGTTTCCCTTCGATGGATATCTTAAAAAAGTAATACGAATGTTTTGTCTTGTAGATAGTAACCAGTCTTGGTGGGATATTGGTTGACTCAGTGTATGAATGCACCCATCTCATCACAGATAAGGTACGTCGCGCTTCATTTTGAAAGTCGAAACATTTGAGTTTTACTCAGGGTCGTTGAAGCGTCGTGTTTACCTTCATCTTGTTCAGCTCCACCCCAAGTCAGAGCCCCAAGTGGCACAAGAGGGTTCTGTAATTATCGTATGTCACGATGGTTACTATACTGCTTTTTCATTCTTCAAATGGTCCTTACTTGGGCGGCAGCCATGTATGAAAACCTTTGTATAATCCATAAATTCATTCTCAATGGGAGGCTACGCGTGGGAAAATCTATTGTTCCAGTTTAAACGTCACAAAAGGTCCATGAGACGAGAAAATAAAGCATATCCATATAAGAGATAGCAAAAGCTAATCTGCCTATCTACTTAATAGTATACTGAATGGCGGCTTGAAAATTTTATTTTATTTTTTTATTAACCATATTATTTTGCTCCTAATGCCTTGGCGTGTTCTTGCTGTAGGTGAGACGTACAGTCAAGTTTCTTTGTGGCGTGGCAAGTGCCCAAATGATCGTACAGCCACAATGGTTAACAGCCTGCAAGAAAGCCAAGTGCTTTATAGGTAAACCACAGGGAGCTCAATTAAAAAAAAATAAAAGATGGAAAAAAAATTGGGGGAAAACTGACTTTAGTTATTTTTTTGTGTTCGAGGTCAAGATAATATCGATGTCTTCCCCAACACAAACAAGTGAAAAAATATAATTTTTCGCCCGCGCTTTTTTTCCTTTATAATTTCGCATCTCGTATCCAGTTCTAGCCTCCTACTCAAAGTAGTGTCGATTGACCAATCACCATAAATCTTCTTTATTTTAGCTTATTTAAGCTTCATGCTGATTGGTCAATTTTTGGAAAATTGCTTGAAAAGTGTTTGGCACAAGTAAGCAGGCGTTCGTGGGAAGGGGAACGAATGTCTAATCGACAAGTATTAACTTCAAATTGCATCAAATGATCCTAATTAGGAATTTACCATTAGATAATTGAAGGGGGTGGGGTTTGCAGGAATTTATGATGTACGATATTTATTTTTCTGTAATAAACCCTGCACGCGTTTCTTTTAATGTCTTAGAACCAGTGCCATTTATTGTGAGCGATGAGGCGGCGGAGAAGCAGTACTCGTTCTCACTTCAACAGTAAGTCACATGAAAAATTACTTGCTAAAGAATATAATTCAATTGTTAATAAATATTTTTGTGTATTGTCAGGTCACTCGAGAGAGCAAAAAAGGGAGGGCTACTTGAAGGATATAAAGTACACATAACCAAGAATGTTAAACCAGACCCTAGTCAGATGAAAGGTATGCTAACAAAAACAATCGGTACAGGTCTATAGACTATCTGATATTTACAGCAGTTTTAAGCATATCTGAGCATGCGCTGTAGACATAGCATGCAGCATAGTTTAGAGACATTTTTTATAACTTGTTATTGATCCTTCTTCATTTAGACATCATCAAGAGTGCTAAAGGAGAGGTATGTTGTATATGACGGAAACCTTCCTTATCCAAAACACCAACAACAGCAAAAACATCAAATATCTTTTAAGAACTATATCACTATCTTCAACAATATGTACACTATGATTATCATCTCTACCGTGTAAAAGAAACAGTTAAAACTACAGCATCTTCAATAGCACCAACATTGTCATTCAATATAATTATATAATTATTGTTGGCATTGATCGACTTGACCGAGGTCAATAATTTAGTTTTCACTTTTCCAGTATCTCCCACGCATGCCCCGTACTATGGAAAACAATATACTAGTGGTTTCCAGTGAGGAAGATCGAGATCTATGTAAGGCTGCATTAGATTGCAGTATTCCTGTGTATTCGTCAGAGCTTTTGCTAACGGGCGTTCTTAGGCAAGAACTAGACCTCGATCAGTATCCTTTTGTGTAGAAAGTTGGACATTTGCTTTCTCTTCTCTTCTCTTCTCTTCTCTTCTCTTCTCTTCTCTTCTCTTCTCTTCTCTTCTCTTCTCTTCTCTATTATTTTTCCTTGATTGCTTTTATCAGGAATCGCTTGTTTACTGGTGAAAAGGAAGATAGGAAAAGAAAAGAATCCGAAGATGAAGAAACATCCGTCAAGTCTGCAAGTAGGAAGCGAAGGAAAAGATGACTTTCAAATCAGTAAACGAGGCAAAGGTGGTAGTCTTTTTTTAAATGTAATGGCGATGTTTGGCTCTGAAATGTTTTATTCATGTGGATTTTAAAAATTATAGAGTACTATATAATATATATCGACAATGTAATCACTCGTTTTGAGGTTCCTCCCTGCGGTAAATTCATATCAAGAGCTTAAAGTGATGCAGTGAACAAAACCGTTCAACATGTTGCGTGACATTGCTGGTTTCAAAGCAGCAGAGCGATTGTTATATTTATTATCTTTTGCACAAAGTAGAAGCTTTGAATGCGATAATTTTGTGTGGAATGTTGTACGGTTTCGTTGGCCGCACCTTTATAAGTAAAGTGGAAAGGCGTTGTTGCAGTAAGGTAAGATGGTATGTAACGAACTAGATAATAACCGTATCGAATCGAGTAAAGGGAGATACTCTCTTATTGGAGAGAGAGCTGTGGCCTCCAAGTGGAGGGCCATTAGGAAAGATTTGAAGTTAGAACAAGGCCAAGTTATCTCCCACTTAGGATTAGGTCCCGCTTGCTCGCGGGAGGTGGGCGAGTTCGGCAGCTCTGACTCTTGCTGTTAATATGTATGAAGTGGTACATACAGATGAACCATGCTTTCTTTATATATACCTCATTTACATATATATCAATCTCTAGGGCATCTATTAACATATCCAAATGACTTCGACTAGCATAAAGTGCTTTAGTAATTCATGCACGCATGTAAGACACTGAATACAAAACTTTGCACCACCAATTACAGGAATTGCTTTCTTTTAATGAGACCTAGATTCATCAGCAATTCCTGATTTACAAAGACTGTTGAGATACAGGTATTTTTAAAAAGTTTGGGGAAGGTTTTGTTGCATAGCGAGCCCCGCATTGCACAATGGGTGATGTGAATACACCCTTTTAAAACCACACCCATTCCAGACCACATGTTATTCCCTTGAAAATATAAGATTATCTGTCTGAGTTGTATCCATATTCATCCGTCTTCTCAAGTGCAACCGTTAAACGAAAGAATATTCTAGGGAAATTGCACGTGGTGTGAAATGAAAACACTACGCACTTTTTCGCGGTATATGTCCTTCTGTGCATTATTTACATATGTATGTGATTGTAATACCTTTCAAGCTTGGTATGAAGCAACATGCAGCAAAACCTTAACCAACCTTCTTGGATATAGCTGTATATTAGCGTTTATCGAATACGTAAATTTATATAATGGCGTATATTTGGAGTATCCCACTAGGCATGCACTTGTGTTGTCTTTGTCCACGCATGAGCATTCAAACGAGTGTGTTTACTAAGAAAATACAAGAGACAAGTGGATATTCCATCAACATACAAGAAATAGCTATTATATCCCATAATAGAAACTTTGAGCACATACGTAAATTAAGAGGGAAATACCGTCAAATGTACAACTCCTTTCAGATCTGATTTGCTGCAGTTTTTTCTGGTATAAGTTATATAAATATTTGTTACAATGGTAGTTTAAAATGGTAGTTTTGCTTTTAGTAAATTCATAAGGACGCAAGCAGTTGTACTTGTAGAAGCTGGCTTCAGAAAGTGGTTTACTGCACAAGCAGTATGAAAACGTGTGTTTTCCCTGTCTCTATTTACTGCAATATATGCTGCAAGCTAGAAAATTAGAGAAGTACTATTAAACTTTCACTTATATTTCCATTGCTCCACATTTCAAGAGATCAAGTGCTCTACAAAAACACAGCAGACAGTTTACTTTGCTTTGCTAAACTATTTTTGACCATTTTACAACAGCATTAGCATGTGTGCCACAGGCTCTCTCGCCCCAGTGCGTCTCGTGCGTAGGTTTATATGCGGGATTGAGAACCACTCCTTCTGGTACGCCAGCATATCACTTATCTATTTAACGAATAAAATAGCTTTTATCGTACTCCATTCAGTAATAAAGCACGCAGGAAGTGCCGTAAGCATGCTTCTCACACTTCTTGAGTGCTTACGCATCGCTAGCCTCCTTCGCAGCCGTTCTTAGGGTCGTCACGCAACGTTTCCCTCCCCACAAACGTCTGCTTACTTGAGCCGAACATTCCTTTCCCAAAATTGACCAATCAGCACGAACCTACTAAAAACGAGAAGGTTCATGCTGATTGGTCGATATTTCGCGGAAAACCACAGAACAAATATGGCGTCCTTCGAAGAAGTGTTTCAGAGTGTTTGTAGTGTTCATTGGAAAAAATTTCCTATACATTTGGAATGTTTGCTCTTTTCGGTCTCTTTCTAAAGCAAAAGGTTGTATTTAAAAGTAAAGTTATATAGCACACATAAACTGCGTGACACAACATCCTAAATGGCCCTGTAAATCTTCTGTTGTTCGCGAACTACCGTAGTTAGCGTGTTTTCGAGGCTACGAATCCTGAGAAACCATAAGAGGCGAATGTTTAGCTAAAAGATAGTATGAGCTTATAAAATCAGCAAAAATACGGTTCTAAWTTTTAACAAATTCCTATGAATTATATACCAACATGTTCAGGAAAGAACGGGGTTCTGGTTCTGTTTTATTTCAAGGAGAGACGATTTTCTAGCTTGACCCCGGTTATGTCACGCATTTTCTCTTGTAAAATACATCCAATCTACCAACTGGTTATGGTAAATCGCTTATCTATCAAGCCCTGCCACTATGTTTTGATGTTCTGAACATCAGAGAACATCAGAGAACATCTTCTTTGTCGCTAGTTGTCGCCTTTCAAAATAATTCCAAAGCAAATTTTGACAGCACGCGGCATTCATTTCAAGTTGTCGCGAACTTCTAACGCAGGATTTGATTGGCTCTTGATAAGACAATAGGCAATTTTGATTGGCCCATGATGTCGCATCGATAACAATGAGAAAGGAATGTTCGGCTCAAGTAAGCAGACGTTTGTGGGGAGGGAAACGTTGCGTGACGACCCTAAGAACGGCTGCGAAGGAGGCTAACGCATCGCTTGCTAAATGCTTTATTACTGAACGGAGAACGGAAAAAATTGTTTTATTCGTTTTATTATAGGGTTACTAATTTTATTTCGGTATTGAATATTGACGGTATTGACGCAGATGGTGTCAGCACTGTGCTCCGTTCACTAATAAACCACAGTTTTCGACCAATCAGCGCGCGCGTACTATCCTAACTAATATAATAAAACTATATAATAAAATTTAATACGAACACAGCCAAACAGAGCAAGCGTCATATCTCAAATATTGGATGATGATAGTTAATAATATTATTGCGAAGCAATGAAAAGTGAATGATAAGTTGTCCAATACACCAGTTTCGCATTCGATGCATACCGCTATTTTTGAAGATCACAGCAGACTCATTTTCACAGGCTTAGCCTCGTTTATAAGTAAGCTATTTAGAGATACCATTAAAAGTCCGTGAGATATCAAAACACTAGTATTATTCAACTTGCACATTCTTTACATTACAGTAATGATAAAAAGGTAAATTTACATTACAGTTGACTTTTGCAAATAATTTGATTTTAAACTAAGCTAAGTCTTCACAAATGAGTATTGAAGAAATAGAAAACGCGCGCGCGTGTTGTGTGCAATTATAAAGCACGTGGGGGCAGAACACACGAGAAGTGTAAGAAGAAGCACGACGCGTAGCGGAATGCTTCTCGACACTTCTCGAGTGTTCTGCCAATCCCCAAGTGCTTTATAACTGCACACAGCACAGCAAGCAAGTTTTTTATTTCTTTTATAAAATACTAATTACAACAACCATTATTTTGGATAGGAATGGCGCACCTGAAAGTGCGCGCGCATACTTAATTTTTGCTATCATAAAGCACGTGCTCTTAACTTATCAGAACATGAGATTTATGACAGTTATTTTATAATATGTCATAAAACGCAGCGGTATTTACCGAATGAGAAAAGTTAGGGACTATTTAACAACATTTAAAACTTTCAAACCAATTTAGGCAATAAATTATGTTATGTAATTCGTATCATCAAAAAGACTTGGACATCATACACTCAACTTTGGAATATCTCTTATTTTACAGGCAGTAGTTAGTAGTGATTCTAGCTACTTCATTTGAAATCTAAAAGCGGTTGTATAGGTGGACGTAATGTTTATGAAAACTGCCATTGTGATGTTAATGTGCCAACCATTTTAATAAGGTTTTGTCACTTTGTTTTGTTGGATTGTGTAATAGATTTTTGGTTGGCAATATAAATAACCATCAAGGGACCGTTCATTTTTTATCAGGGAGGGGCCAGTGGAAATATGGGGGGGCATGTAAAAAAATTCGGCTTATAGAGGGGGGCACATGTAGAAGAATCAATGTCAAAAGGGGGTCATTCAGGTATAGAACATGAGAGGGGGGCCAGCAGATGTCAACAGCAATATAGAGGTGGGCTAGTTTTTCTTGTATGGGCTCTTGCTGGAAATCCACCTCCCACCCCTCCCTTATAAAAAATGAACGGTCCCCAACTCAACCAAAACAAATTTCTTTATCGTACGCCCATCTATTGGAATAAAGTTACCGTAAAGCAGTTCTTGACTGTGATTGTGTTACGTAACATTAACTTCCTAAACATCTTCCTCTTGTTCTTCTTCCTCTTGTTCTTCTTCCTCTTGTTCTTCTTCCTCTTGTTCTTCTTTGTCTTCAAGCTCAATGTCAAATCCCCCAGGGCTCATTCCCAGTTCCGGTTGTTCAACACCAACGTTCATATCTTGGTAATTCTTCAGGTCATTATTACCTTCTATCCCAGAAACGTCACTCCCTGCTTGGTTTATGGTCAGGAAGAGGTACAAACAGCACGAGATAGAACATTGTGGGTTCTTCCTGATGACCTGCACAGTCTGTACTAACGTTACCATATAATTGACTGTGGAACAAAAACATGAAACAAACAGAACAGAATTTAGGAAAGTGGGGATGGCTAATCCCCGACAACTGTTACATCACTGAGAAGCCTCATGTCATGTAACAGCACACTATGTTCGATTCAAGGATCGTACAATAGCGTACAACTAAGAATGCACATTCTATTCTACTAACCAGCCATGATGGCGATGACAGCAACATTAGCAATCATCAGCACCGCTGTTACAAAAGCTTCATCAACGTGGGTATTAACACTTGAAGACAGGCTGTCACTAGGGATCTTCAGTAGCATCCCAACGATCATGTTCACCATGGTAGCCAATAGTGAAGTCAACTGAAGCCAGTGTTCAAAGGTGTCTGTGATTGGCTTGTAGTAAGCAAACAACACGGCATATATTCCTGATATTATGGCTGTTACACCAAGGTATGTACGACTTTCAGCATGAGCCAGTAGAATGACAGACGTCAGGAGAACTTTGCGCACCAGTTCGATGATTTCCCAAAACCACACATTACTGGCGTAGTTCTCGTACACGAATTTCAACCCTTCCACGATACCATCATTCTTTGTATGCACTCTTTCCTCGCGGGAAGCATGCTTTCCTCCTTTGTAGTAATATTTCCAAAGCAGGTAGAAAATGAGCGATGGAAATCCAACAGGATAGAATACAAGGACATAAGAGAAGAGGCTTTTGACCTTGAAAGTCTTGCTTCCACATTCTACAGAGTAGTCAGATTTTAAGTACGACTTGCAGAACTTCTCATCTGTTGAGGTGCAGACCTCCTGGCAAGTCTCGGGGAGAGCCTGAAAAATGTAGCTGCATGTCATGGGGAACGAAATGAATAAGATCAGGAAGACCGTGCGGTAACAACGCTGTTGAAGAAGAGACCTCCTCTTGCTGGGGATTTGTCTGACCCTGATATGATAATATACGATTCCAGCCATTATAGCAACAACATTAAATAGTACTGCAGCAAGCAGTTTGACGTGAACATTAGTCTTGAGGGAGTCTGATATGCAATGAAGTGGAGCTGCTTGTAGAAGATTCATCTGGAAAACCTCTGCATACCTGACCAGCTTGATCATGGCATCAGGCCAATGGACGTACGAGAAACTGGAGATTGTTCCTGAAGTGACTTGGTAGAATCCAATCAGGATCTTAAGTCTGGCTGTCATGATATCAGAGAGAGATCTCCCACTTGACTTGTTCTTTTTGTCTCTTATCAGCAAGACAATCAGACCCACTACAATCACAATGACAAGTATGATCTGGGTTACTATCCAGGGTAGGGTGGGGCACTTGCGGCATATCGATGCGAGCATATAAAAATGTCTACTGCACATTGCACACATGGGACCCTCGTAACCAACAGAACATTCCGAGTCTATACCACCTTTGCAAGCCGATGCAGTAAGACATGCGTAGGCTTTAGGAAGACCTTGAGTATAGTGAGCCAGACTTTTGTTATATGATTGGCTATTGAGTTGTAACTCGGCAGAAAAGTTCAGGTACATGTGTTTGGTTTCTGTAGAATTCCACTTCCAATAGAAACCAGGCAACAGGTTGATGGTCTCGTTTGTACATTTGTATCATCGTGTACATGGAAAACAGGCCTCAAAGCGATGTACACGGTAATGGTCGTCACGGCAAAAACAGGCTCTGAACAAAGCTGGGTGATCATGACGCGTTCCTGGTGAAAAAGAGGTATGAAAAGTTTGAATTAGGGCTCGTTCCCCCAGGTCCATTTTAGATCGATCTAGTTTGGATAGATCCGAAATTGATAAGAATAAATTCAGTTTTCAAGACCGTTCACATTATAAACGATCATAAACGTACACACACACACACACAAAAAACAAGTAGTCGGTTCAGCAGATAAACTTTGCGAAATAGATCTAATTTACTATAATATGATGCACTTTCCGTTTAGTCTTACTAGACTCATTCCAAATGGAAAGGAGTGAGTATAGGTTCAAAGCCCGATTAGCGTCACCATCAAGATTTTTGAGTTTTCTGGTCAGAGCAAGGGGTTAATCATGTCGGTCTAGGGGCCGACTAACCTCTCCCATAGGCTTTGGACGAAATTCCTGATCAGTCTGCAAATCTGCGGATAGCAGTGTCGGGGCTGAAATCTCCGGCGTAGCCGTAAATGTTTCGCGCTGGCATACGAGGTTAAGCACTCGATGATTTCTGTAAGTATGGTCCTTTTTACTGCTAAGGGTTCCTGTGGAACGGCCCGACTTATGAAATGCAAGCCGTTTTTCTTAGTCGCCAAATCTGCAATTGACCACTATGGCGCATGCGTGTTGTTGTCAAAAGCTGAGGTCCACGAATATTTGCCTATTGTCTTGCCGAGCATTTGCCGAGTGATGAACGTATAATTGTTAGTGAGCATTCTATTCTGATTCGTTGAAAGTTATTATTATTATTCAGAACGAGGCAATGCGCAGTCAGCCTATTTCTTGGAAGACGCTGTAGCATCACAGGTAGCCCAAGCTTGGTTCCTGTGGTGTCATATTATAAGAAAGTGAATGGCGATACTTAAAAAACAACTCAATAAAATCGTCAAAATGTGAAATAAAGTAAAGAAATCTTTGCTGATCTTTGAAAAGTAGTACCTCTTTCGTCTTGGGTACTTAGATTTTGGATTTCATGGAGGGGAAAAATGTTAAAATTTAAATGATAACTGATTATGGGGAATTGAAGGACGTCAACTAGCTTCAACTTTATTATTTAAATACGGAAGAACCCCGAGTAAGCGCTACTGCGGGCGTCTAGTTTTTCAATGAATAAAAAAGAAAAAATCCCAAAATCATGTTTCCATAGCAGATAAAGTTTCAAATAGATCAAATTTATTATGATGCATTGTTCCATTGAGTTTTACTAAACGCATCCCACATGGAAAGGAGTGAGTATGCGTTCAAAGTCATCAGAGTCAATCAAGGTTTTTGAGGTTGCTTGTCATAGGGGTTAATCATCTAAGGTCTAGGGGCCGACTGACCTGTCTCTTAGGTTAACGCCGAGTTTCATATATGAACAATAGTTTTACACTATCACGTGCTGGCGCCCATAATATAGCTTGGACCGCCTGTGGTTAGATGGCAGAGCAATAAAATCCCTTTGCTCTCGGGGATTGAATTCTTTTTTATGATTGTATTGTTCATGCCATCAAACCTCTATTGGCTTTCTAGTGCCTATTCGCGTTGGAAGGGTCCATTGACACGCATGTCTATACATATACAAAATAGACACTCAAAATATGCATGTATTTATTGTGTGTTTTCTTCTCAGTATATTTCACCCTAGGGACGGACCATTAGATTATCAAGTGGGAAGAGGGTTTCGTAAATCCCCCAAAATATAGAGCAAGCTGACTACTTCGACAAAACAACCCCCACTCCCCCTCAGTTATCTAATTGTCGATCTCTTTGCGTATTACTGTTCAAAGGAAAACAATTTAAAAGTCTCGCGCACGTCACACTAGCCATATAGATCGACCTGAAATGGATATAAAGACAAACGGACCAAGTATGTACGTGTGAACCCCAATAGTCGTGCCAACTGGCCAAACCAAAACAACTTAATAGGCCCTTTGCAGCTCATTAATCACGTGCTGATTAATTCACTGAGAGCAAATGAATGAATATTTTGATTCCCATGGGTGAAATTTACTGGAGAGCAAACAAACTTTCTACAACCTGTACAACACGTGACCGTTAACTGCAAAGGGCCTATAAGCCTTCTCATAGTTTAAGAATCGATTCCACTGCGCATGAGATTTTATCCCGAATTTCTCACCTTCTTTTGTCTAAACCTTCTTTTGTTCTTAATTAAACAAAAGAAGGTGAGAAATTCGGGATAAAATCGCATGCGCAGTGGAATCGATTCTTAAACTATGAAAAGGCTTATTATACACGTGAATGCTAGCTACGCACATGCAATTGTTGAGCGCTCGACTTTTAAATTGTTTGCTTTTGAAATAGGGATTACTAGTAAAAGTAGTACGCAAAGGGATCGAAAATTATATAATCATGAGGGGAAGTGGTTGTTGCAGGAATTTATGTTGCACTTTTTGTGACAAGCCCTGCACGCATTTATGAATATGTTGGAAAATTCATGGAAGAAAAGCGTAATACGTAATGAGAACGAAGAAGAGAAACGAGCGGAAATAAATCTGCAATTCTAGTCCCTACTAGTTCCCAAACCCTTAGATATTTTGACACCCGGTTTTGGTTATCCTACCTATTTTTTTTTTTGGACGTTTATAGTTGTTTATAGTGTGAACGCTTTCGAAATCTGGGCTCTGATCGATCACGGATCTATCCAAACTAGATCGATGGACCTAATTTGAACGAACCCTTAATTAATTATTCTTTAAGATTTTGTAATTGGTCGTATAAGGTCAATCAATTAGTGCAACTGAAACACTGGTCGTTGGTACACCTACCGTCTGGACATGTCTGACAGTCAGCTCTTTGTACTCCTGGTGAACTTTGCAGACTGACAAAAGTTCCGTCTGGACACTGTTTACATCCCAAACCATGAGAAAGAATTTCATATTGTGCCTGCTCATCCTGATAGAAACCACCTGGTTTTGAGAATGTAAATATTGAATAAGAATCTCTCGGTTAGATCAGTTTCCGGCGTTCTAAGGATACCTCGGACAAAAAGAAAAAAAGAGAGAGAAAAGATGCTAGCTTTCTATTTTTGTGATTGATTGAAAAACTTACCTGCTGGACATGCCACGCACTGCCCTCCCATTTTAAATGTTCCGTATGGACACGGGTAACAAATCTTGCGATTCATCAAGCGCGGGTAGGTAACATATCCTCTGGCAGAGAAAAAACTTGCCACTGTCGTACAATCGAAATGAACGGTATCCGAAGTAGCCTTTCGTGAGCTGTTGACAAAATAATAACATAAGCTGTTCTCACTGGTTCTTTTACGTCCCTCCTATGTTGGTTAATAATGATGAGTGTGGTCAAGTGGTCATCCGAGCCACTTGAAAGTCTAACCATTTGCAGAAAGGCAGCACTTTCTCCTCAGTTATTTTAAGACCCTGAGTGTTGGTCCGGCCGGGACTCGAACCACGACCTAGCCTCCCGCACTCCGATGCTCAGCCAACTGAGCCAACCGGTAGGCGACTAAAACACCAGACTCAAGTAGGAACATATATTGGTATGATTTTTGAATTTTATTTATTATCATATTTACGCTGTACTGCAGTATTGGCTGGTAACAAAACGAGCAGAGGACTGGAACCGGGTTACTCGAAAAGACCTCATGAAGGCTACATACAAACTAGTAAGAATTGAAAATTTGATCAAATTTGGGCAAATTGAACGAGATTTCACGATATTTTGAAAAGTTTACGAATTACGCTTTACATTATTAGTACCTAACTGGTTTGCACCATCAAACATCAAACAAGTCAGAAGAAAGGCGAAGGTGCTTTTGGTGAGGATGGAGGGGTTGACTGATATATATATATATATATATATAATGATTTTATGACCCCCAGACATATAATACTGATGTTTACTAGAAACTAGTATTTTGCTGGAAAACACTCGATAATTCAGAATCATAACAAAAATGCGCAACCACAGGACACAAAGAATAACACAGGAAACCCAACATGAACTTGGGAAGCCTGTGCGTTACAGTACAACATGCACCATCCGTTTTAACTTCGTATTTTCTAACATCTACATGTCTTTTGCTGGTTTTGCACCCAACAAATGAGGGACTACGTACATTTGAATGTTAGTACGATAAAAGTGAGGATTCGTTGTTGGTGAAAAGTCACCGTATAAGAACATAAATGGAACAATGTAATGCAAGGCAGTGTCCACCACGTTCCTGCAAAAAATGAAATTTCAGTGTTAGTTTCGATTCTTGAGGGAATAGATATAGGACTTTGCTGCTTTTGCTCGCAACTCGCCATCCTCAAACCGATTCCTGTCTACCCACAGTTATACTATCGCTGACCCTATCACGTTTCCTCATTAAAATATGCTAGAATTTGATACATCCGTCACCCCCTGTCATGCCGCATTACAACTGTCCCAACTTATTTTTGCAGTTGCTTCTTACAGGGTATGAAGTCGAGAATTTGTTCGAAATGCTGCAGGTTCGATGACTTCGAGTGGGTTTGAAGAAAGCCACCTGAAATAATGAGAACATTTCGTTTTGTGTCACTCTTGCTTTTAGGGCTTGATCGGGTTGTATCAGTATGAGTAAGGTTATTGTCTTTTATCGTCGTGTAAGGAAACGTTTTGAAACTGTTCAAGTGGTTTTTCAAGAGTCTCCTTTGAGAATGAACTGGGAATAAATAATATTGTTTACTAGTTTTTTTGTTTTGTTTATTCTTCGTTTGCTATTTCCACGCCAGAACACATTTAGTTCAGATTATACACTTTCACATTTCAATAAAGTTAGTCACCAAAAATCTAGAAAGCTGAGATCACTGAGCATCATGGGAAACTTTTCATATCAAAAAAGCATATATATACAAAGCTTTTTTAATACAAATTGCAGCTCGATGATGCTCAGAAGAGGTGAGAGTGTAACCGGTAAAAGATTCGCAAGTCCATGAACAGTTATCAAGCGGTTGAACGTGTAAAATGTATCTACCCATAATCCTTGTCGGCCTCAGCTTTATAGCTTTTCAGGTAACTAGCTTTATTGAAATAAGTGTATATGAGCAAAACGATAGACAGACTATTCGCTTACAAAATACTAAGATTACTTTTGTTTGTCCAGCAAACTACTTTTCACATATACAGGGCATTACTTTGCAATGATAGTAGCCACAGTCTTGGACTGCTTATTTTTTGTTAAGTCAACAAGAATAGCTGCTTGCTATGTCCCCTCTTGTTTGAGTACCATCTTTTCCTAGCCCGCTTTCCTTTGTGTCTTTATCTTGTAGATAAAGAAATGATAATCCATGCATTGACAATAAAGTGTATCCATAGTGTATGATATGGCCTTACAGCGAAAGTAGCTTTCCTAGATTATGAAACGTTAACGTCCTGATTTTTCTTATGAGATTCTTTTGAAGAAGTCTGAAAGGACAAGGAAACAGGGCAAACATCACGTTAGGCACATCAGAGACACATATTATGGAAACCTATAAATTTGAAGCAATCGTCATCTCTCTTCACGATTGGCCAATTGGTCTATTCAATATACCCGCCACTAAACTCTTTGAGCATTAGTTTATTTTATTTTATTTTATTTTTTTCAATATGCCCTCCTTGTTGTCAAAATGATCTTGTATTTCGAGAGCCATAAGTTAGTTAACGAAAGATGTCCATGTTTACATCGTGATTTATCGCGGGGATGTTGGCTATCCTATCGTGCATTGCGCATCGTCACACTTGATGCATTAACGAACGCCGTCCACGTTTACTTCGTGATTTACTTGGATGTAACGAAAAATGCGTTGTCTATGATTATTTTATTTTATTTTGACGTTTCGGTCGAGGTACTGCAACCTTCATCAGTAATGTAGGGTTATGTTAATTAATTACAAGGTTTTAAAATACACTCGAGAAAATTAAATCTTCATTTATTGAATTTCATTGTGGTCTTTTTCGGTGGAAAACGTTCATGGCATCGACTATATTTACGTTCCAATCAAGACATATTAAGAAGTCACATTTCCTCTAGGGGAAGGAAATGAAGAAGAAGGATAAACGTTTGTTTCGAAAATTCAACAGTTTTTGAAAAGTTATAGAATATTGTGCTCTTTTCTAAATAAGCTGACAGAGGCATTTGGGATATCCTCTTCTGATAGTTAGTTAATCGATGCATGGAGAGATTCGTCTACATATGTCCGCTTTGTTTTTTACTTTTCTATATTAAAGTTACTCACATTACTTGAACATCTTTCGTGTAAGTTCCAAAAGCAACATCTTCTATTTCTTCTATCTGGTTTTCAATGAAACCCCTAGAATAAGAAGCATTGTTATATAGCTGGAATGTTTTCCTCTAATGCTTGCACTCTCATTGGTTGATTCGTGGTCACATGACATCTAACGATAACACTGTTTCTCGCCTAACGTTTCTGGGCAGACAACATTGCAAAATCTATGACGTCAGAGGGTAACGGTTTATTGTTACACGCCAATGTTTATATACCGGCAAACTTGGTTGCACGAACAGCACGTGATAGAAGGTGGCGTGACGATTGCACGAACGTATGATTGTTGAAAGCTTCGCTATCTGACTAGCTAACTGTCTAGCTTTGCTGATTTGTCCCGAAAAGAAATTGCTGGCATATTGAAAGAAAAGATTCAAATGAAACGAAATTGGAGACAAAAACTTGTCCACATTCAAAGCCTTCTGCGAAGAAAAATATCCTGATAAAAACAAGAGTTTGCCGCTTGAAATTTCAAAAGAAAACTGCTTGAGTATCTTATATCTTATAAGTGTATCTTATATCAGGATATTTTTGCAATAATAAAAAGCCGGTGGCCTGTTCAGGGATAAGTCATTATTGTAGCATACACTTGCAATATATATTAAAATAATTGCACAAATCTTAACTATTCATCCAGGAAAAACACAAAAAAAATACTGATCTGTTTAGAAGAATTGAAACCGTTTTTCTATGTTGCGCACATGTGGATATAATTTGTTTTTTATTTCAGTTTTTAAGTTCTTGCTCATTTTTTTCTCCTTTAATATTTCCAAATGTTTTTTTCTTTGTCGTGTTATTTCTTACAGAAAAATAAACGCCTTAGGACGCGAAAGAAGTCTGCCGTCTTTGAAACTTGAGAGTCTTTTTTTTACTTCTTCTTCAGGCCTTAAAAACATAAGTATTGAAAGGAGTAGTTAGTCGTTAGCTCACTCAGACTCCTTCGTTGCGACCTTTCTCTAGACTCTGATACAGCCATGTACGTTAGATGGCAGGAACAATAAAATGGGTACCCAAAGCGATCCTTTTCTGAACTCTAATTGGGTATCCAAATCACTAGCGATCTTTCAACTGGACTCTGATTTGCTATCCAGATCACTAGGGATCTTCCCTGGACTCTATTGGGTACCCAGATCACTGGGGATCTTTCCGAGTACTCTAATTGGGTATCCAATTCACTAGGGATCTTTGGCTGGACTCTAATTGGGTATCCAGACCACTAGGGATCCGTCTTTCCTTGTACTCTAATTGGTTATCCAAATCACAAGGGATCTTTGCCTGAACTCTAATTGGGTATCCAGATCACTAGGGATCTTTCCCTGGACTCTAAGTGGGTACCCAGATAACTAGGGATATTTCCCGGTACTCTAATTGGGTTTCCAAATCACTAGGGATCTTTGCCTGGACTCTAATTGGGTATCCAGATCACTAGGGATCTTTGCCTGGACTCTAATTGGGTATCTAGATCACTAGGGATCTTTCCCTGTACTCTAATTGGGTATCCGGATCACTAGGGATCTTTCCCTGGACTCTAATTGGATATCTAGATTACTAGGGATCTTTGCCTGTACTCTAATTGGGTATCCAGATCACTAGGGATCTTTCACTGTACTCTAAGTGGGTACCCAGATCACTAGGGATCTTTCCCTGTACTCTAATTGAGTATCAAAACCACTATGGATCTTTCCCGGTACTCTAATTGGGTATTCAGATCACTAGGGATCTTTGCCTGGACTCTAATTGGGTATCCAATTCACTAGGGATCTTTCCTGGACTCTAATTGGGTACCCAGATCACTAGGGATCTTTCCCTGGACTATAATTGGGTATCTAGATCACTAGGGATCTTTCCCTGGACTCTAATTGGGTATCTAGATCACTAGGGATCTTTCCCTGGACTCTAATTGGGTATCCGGATCACTAGGGATCTTTCCCTGGACTCTAATTGGGTATCCAGATCACTAGGGATCTTTCCCTGGACTCTAATTGGGTATCTAGATCACTAGGGATCTTTCCCTGGACTCTAATTGGGTACCCAGATCACTAGGGATCTTTCCCTGGACTCTAATTGGGTATCCAGATCACTAGGGATCTTTCCCTGGACTCTAATTGGGTATCCAGATCACTAGGGATTAATTGTGTCCTAAACAATGGATAAACACCTCAAGGTTTCATTTTAAGACCAATACTTTTATTTTTAATATGCGTCCAAAATATGTGTTACGGAGCTTGCTGCTTTACTCTTTCAATCACTTATCGGATTGAGAGATGTCTTGCCGATATAGCCCAACGGATGGCTACTTATGAGCTCAAATTGAATGCAGATACAAGCGAACTCTGTACAGGTGTTTCGAATGCCATCTATTACTCCGGGAACTGATGTTATCTAGCCCACTGATCTTATATTAGTGGCAGTAATAGTAATAGTAGTAGTAAAAGAGCTTAGAAGTTATGCATTGCAATGTATGTTAATAGTAGAAGTAAAAATAAATGAATGACCACAGTTACCAGGAGTAAAAATATTCTTGCTTCAGTTTGGCAATCTTGTTTCCTTCCAGAACCCTGAGGTCGATGAAGCAAAGCACGAAGAAATTATGATTATTAAAAACAATTTTTCTAGGGATTCCTTTTTAAAAACAGAAAATTACCATCCAACTTACATTGAAAACGGTTCGTAAAACGCTCCTTTTTCCAAAGATCTTATATTGTTTCTTACTAATTCTCTAAAGAGGTAAAAGGTGAATAAATCGTAAGAATATAACACATGACTAATCACCCACTCCTCACCAAAACCAAAAAATAGAAACACGACACACTTGTTCGTGTTCCATGGTACGTACATTCCTGAACGGCCATACAGTCCCGCGAAAGCTTTTGATTTCACTGTGGTAATGTTATTGCCATGGATTTGCCTGCCAATTAAATGAAGTCACATATTCCGTTAATTTATTTAGATAATCACCTTAGTTATTGCTAGTGATCTTCGTGGACGTCGAGCGGTTGTGATAAAGCGTTATTGAACTATGTAGAAAATGCCTGCTTGCTAGCTTGATGCAGTGGCCGTGGGTTGAGTTTGTGATATATTCCCGGGGGGGAGGGGGGGTACTCCCCTATATTGGCTATACGGGTACGTGCCGCCAAACAGGGTATTGTTTTCAGCAATTCTACTATGGAACAGGGTATATGAAATCACGCTCTCTCCTCTCTGGAACAGGGTATCCATTTTCGAACTACCGGAAAAGGTAATGATTTTCAGCGATCTTGCTCTGGAACAGGGTCAGGGTTCAGGGGGCTCAGCGGCACATCCTTACCCTAAACGGGCAAGAGTACCCCCCCCCCCCCCCCCCCCGGGGATATATTCTCATGAATTGCATAATATTAATGAACAAAAAATGCATGGTATTTCTATGCTGTCCTATGCTTTACTGTACTTATTATGGTTTTGACGAAAAAGGACGGACAGTGAGTTACATACAGGGTTCTAAGATAATTACTTGATAGAAACCACGGGTCGATAATCTTTAAATGGTTATCATGGAGAACTCTGGGGTAAAATAGATATTACTATCAGTTGTATTGTATTGTATGAATAAATAATGTCATCATAACATATAACATAATAACATATGACTCATTCCTGGAATCAAACCCGTCCCAAAACAGTCGGAAGATATTCCAACATCATCCAGCTTAATATCACTCATACCATGAGTCTGTATCCTTTGATCGCACTATGTAAAGAGAAGAAAGGAGAACTGAGCCAAAGAATGATGGTGATTGTCAAATAACGCCGGACTGCAATTGCTAGAGGGCTTCAGTTTTGATGGAATAAAAAGCTCGAACCAATTCAGCTTTCCAGTTATTTAGACCACGAACTACAAGGGCAAAAATTATTGATTTTTGAATTTGTAATGTAGAGATATTGAAGAACAATTATATTATCAGCGTAAGCATTCAGCCGAAAATGACGAGAGTAGTATTCTTGTCGGCCAAGAAATGTCATTCAAGATTATCCTTTGACTTGTCTAAGACCTAACGTACATCACAGGTTAGGCAAAAAGCTATATGGTTTAGTAAAATAAGGTAGTAGCCGCCAAAGTAATCTATCAATATTGTTACAAAATTATGTTTTGAACAATTTACTGAGAATTTAGAAATGTAGTCAATGGTGTGTTCTCAAATATGAACATTTCAAAACTATAAAGTTTGATTTTGATGACCTCTAATACTTTTCTGAAGGACGTTAAAGGGGCAAAAGATGGTGGAATTAAATTTAAGTGTAGAAGGAAGATATTGAGGAATATTTGATTATGACGTCATTTGATGACGTCAGTTTTTGAATTTGTTTCAAAAAAGAGACGATAAAGAGAAATTAAAATCGTGCTTTAAAATGTTTCGTATATTTTGTAATAGAATAGTTCAACGTAGTTAGATTATTTGTTCTTACAATCATTGCAATTTTCAATTACAGTGTGAATACATTAACCAAGGCCATCCAGACAAATTTCAAATCAAATTAACAAATCACATTTTTAACGCTGATTGACAGATGAATTGATGATTTCTGTTGTTTAGACTGTTTCTTGTTCAATCCTGATCATACACAACTTAAATAATATATTGTGATTGGCTAATTTGGTTGGTGTGGAATGACCCATTATTTAGGGGGGTGGTCGTCCTTCAAAATTTACTTATTTTATTCTTTATTTTATTCGTAGCCCCTGTCTTTTTCCTTCCTTTCTTTTTTCACTGAAGAGACAAGAAGTAAAAAGCGTAAAGCGTATCGTTCATTTTTTACCGACTTTATCAACTGCACCTTGGAAAATAATTTAGGAAAACGGCTTGAACCAGCAGTGAGTACCATAAAGGGCCTTTCACTGCGGTCACAACTCTGTTCTTTGAATAAGATACTGCAGTTACAGATAGGTTATATAGTATGGAAATTGGAGCAAAAAATTCTCCTGGAGGTCTGGCATATCCGCATCGCTGTGAATGGATCTGTATATAATAAACTATATTTAGAGACGTTACGAGAGCTATTTTGAGAGCTATCTTTGCATGATCTATACACTAACTCGAAACTATGTGGTGACCAATTTGAGTAACTTTTGTTCTGGACTGACTATAGCTTCTCTTAGATGTGAAAACGCTTTTATGTTTCCACTTGAACACAAGGCTAATCAGGCCAGAACAATAGTTATTCAAATTTGGCTGCCATTTAGTTTCGAGAATATGTTGTATACATTGTGCACTTAAATCAGTACCGTATGTCCCCCCCCCCTCCTACCAAGACCGCTCTGTGTACATACTGTAAGCCAGTACCGTATGTCTTCCCCTTCTACCAAGACCGCTCTGTGTACAT